CTAATCTTATATGTAAATTCCTTCCAGCTAATTACTGTCAGATTTGTAAAGACTTATGTGGAGCTATTCTCATATTGTAATCCACACTCACATGTTCTCAATATAAATTAACTAGGATTTGATATTGGTACTCATTGTTCACTCAATAAACACTATATACGCATTCATCCCTGCAAATGAATTTCTACTACTTCATTTAAATCACCGATCCAGCTTGTTATCTTGTTCCGTTTACTACTTTATCCTCCCAATAATTCATTTCAATCTATTCCTCGGAATTAAAGTAACGATTGCATCTCATTTGCGTTAATTTCTACTTAGTTAATAAATACTATCTGTATTTCTGGTATTTTGTTACATCAAAGGAATCAACAGATCCTCATCTATTCATTGATTATTCAATCTTAATAAAACAATTTCTCTTAACTAAACGTAGAAACTAGCTTTCTTTCAATAAAGAAAGTAAGGAAGTCGAGTTTTATTCGTTATGAAACAAGAAAACCAAACACTCTTCCGTAACACTTTTTGCACCTTTATATCCATGCTCGAAAGCAAAGTCAATCTTGCTCACTGCTTTGAGTCTTTCAGCCTCCATTATAACAACGCTTATACTTGTTTCACTCTTCTTTGTACATCCAACTGTCAAACTCTTCACTTTACTCACCGCAAACTGTATCTTTTATTTTCCTTTGCTCCATCGTACCACAGAATGGTTCCGGAAGAATAAAACCAAAAACTTACAAGTTCTTAATCTAAGTGTTAACTTAATAAATGGTATTCATTTATTATTAGCAATTGTTTTTATTAAATAAAACAAAAATCATACCGTAATTTCATTTTGATGAGTTAGTTACTGACTTGCAAACATCGTTTGTTTGACTTGCAAACATTTGCTCAGTTCGAATAATACGAGTGCTGTTCTTAAAACTATTACCTTAAGCAGGATCTCATGAAAGACAATTTTATTTGAAAGTCTAGTTTTTAAAAGGATTAATGAATCAGTTCTCTGCAGAACATGTTTAAAGTGAGTCCTAAACTTTAGCTTGTAGCTGCGGTTATTTCAGTTGACAGAATGATTAATTAGTTGTTCTTCATTCCAGACACGTTCTTTGAAACCGTTATTTTTTGACAGTTTTCAGCACAGTGATGAATAGGATTGCTATAGTATAGTGCAGAGTCTGCAGAGTCTGGCGTACTATACCTTCATGACATAATTTTTACTCGCATCCAAAGTGATTAGTCGTCTCGTCTTGTTTGATATATCAATTAATTCCCATTCTCTTGACTGGAATATGAAAAAATGGGACTATTTCTCAGAAGGAATTAGGAAAGATTACATCTGACTAATGAGTTGATAAACATTAAAAGCACTGTTAGCGATAACTATTGATTCTCCTATATCCATTTATCTATAAAATATTTTTACAGGAAACAAATTTTCCTTAAATATGTTATACCACTAATAATTCAATTACCAACTGCTTATGTTTTTGAAAATTTTCAAGTGAATTTAGATTGAAAACCGAAAAATGAAGTTTGAATTTTGACAAATAGATATTGAGTCACAATGTTATTAGAAAAAATTCAAATCCATAGCTTTAACTAAGATAATGTAATTTTAGAACTTAATCAAATGTTAGCTACTTTGGACACTTGGATAACTGCTTCTAGATAAATTTTGAAAATGCTCAGCTAAACTAAAAGAAGTCCCGAATGGCGGCACATTTTTAATAAGAGTTTTTCAGCATTCACTTTGGTTGCTTTCCCTGTTGTTGCTATTTCCGAGGTTTTGTAATTCCTATCCCTATTATGAAAGATTTAAAAAACAACTTCCCTTATCGCTTTCATTGGATTTATGACATATGAAACTTGGAATACGAGAAGATGAAAACGAAAACGAGGACACAGATATCGTGGTACTATGTGAAATTCATTGTTTTGAAGATGATTTAAATTACAATCAATGTTGCTCGAAAACTACTGTAGCATCATTCTTATGCTGATGTTCTTGTATTTTAGATACTGTCGTATCTTATTTTATTAAGGACGACATAGGATTTTCATGATGAAAAAAATTTCATCCATCTGATTATATCTCTACCAATCAAAAATTTTATCCTTGACTGGCAGATGATCAGTTTATACTTTTTGTAGATTTCAATATTTGCTCTTCATAAAAGCTATATTTCTTTTCTACTAAAACATTTAATGTTTACTTATGTATTGTTACTATTTCATTTATAGGCATTGTTATAGATTCTATTTATAAACCAATAACTTGTGTTAAAAAAGCTTAGTGAGTGTATGATACAATGCGATGGAACAATGAAAGGTGTTAAGCTGTTAAGCGTTTACTGTATGGGATTTGACTTGAATCAGTGTATCATTTTCAGCTTATCAAACAATAAATTAATTTAGAGAGTCTGAGTTTTGGAACTTCTAAAGTTGTATTGTACGGAGATAAAGTCAAAGAAGTATCTATGAATTATTAGAAAGAAATGTGAATTATGTGAAAAGTGGAGTAAAATGAATGAAAAGAGGATAACGTTCTTCATTTAAAAAACTTTTTATATTCATAAAGACCAAAAATAATAATAATAATAATAAGGTGGGAAAACGGGAAACTGAAAGGGAAAGATAAGATAGAGTTATCCGAATAGCCCAATCAGTGTAAATTTATCATTAACCGATGGTGGTGTAAAACAATTCAGATGGAATCATAGTCTTCCTGAACGAGAAAATCGTAGTGTTAGCTTTCAAACTGTTCCCCTTTTAGCTGTTGATAATTTATGTGTCAAGCTTTCCTTGCTGAACCGGTGACAGCGTTATCTTCAAATGTATTCAATCGTCTCATCTATTACACACTTGAACATTGTGACGAAATGCCCGGGCGAAATTTCATGAGCTAAATAGATCATTGATAATAGCATAAATTTCAAAAAAAAAGAAAAATGTGGACAGCTTATGCTATCAGTGAGTCACTTTTTATCTTCTCTTAGCTTGCTTATCAGATTTTGGTACAATTCCGTTTTTTATCATTGAAAAATTTTTCGTCTAAACGATATGGAAGATTTTAAAGTTTAATTTAAATTTCAGACACTGTCCTCTCTTTCACAAAAATAGTTTTTTCGTTCAGAAATTTTATTTGTTATTATCATTCGTAGTGGCGAGTGGTTTGTACGCAAAGGTCGTTTTTTTCCAATGCTGTCATTCTAAAATAATATTTTGGAAGTAAATTACAGAAGGAGCGATTTGTCTCTAAAATTTAGGAGTTTTTTACGCATATTTTCTAAAATCTTCTACGCATATTTCTACAACATACCATTTCATGAAATTCTCAGAAAGTTAATTTCGTATAATGGTACTATGATTAATGACCAATCGTCCAGTGATTATTTTAAAATAAGTCTTTTATAGCAAACATTGCATGATGTAGAAAATGCTGTTAAGTAAAAAATTATCAAAAAACTGCTTTTTGCTGCTGGCTTATACCATTAGTTCGAATAATGAATTTAAATTTAATTTCCGTAAGTGCTGGAAATATATTTTCAATCTGGTTTTTTGAGTATTGGTACAACTGAACTGATGGAAGCAGAGGGAGTAAATATGCTTGTTTGGGCACCTGATGATAAAGATGGATTCATTTTATGCAAAATTATTGACATCGGTTGTGAATGGGTGACACTACAGCGATTGCACGAAACAGAAACGGTATGAGCATTGCTTAGATTTCGAGAAAGCTCCATTTTGAATAAATTATTTGTGACCTTTTCCGAGGCAACCAAACTTTAATTAAATTAAATGTTTCAGTTCCAAGCTTTTACGATAATATTTTCCTGCTGGGGATGATATCAGTCGAGACGTCGATGATAACTGTAAGCATTTTATCATTAAAG